TCTGTATCCGAAATTCTTTATATAAAAACACCTAATAAATAAATTTGGCTTAAAATAATTACAAAAGTGAGGAAGACAGGCTGCAATGTATTAAGAAGGCATTTACATGTCAAATATGGATAAAGACTCTTTTGAATCACAAAAACTCCAGAGATTTTAAAGGGTAATAAAATTGTAGTTCAAAATTTTATAACACTCTTTTAACATATCTCACTGATTTATTGCTTCGCTTTTATATAACTCATGTATTTAATGTTTTTTCTATGGAAATCATATTTTATGCCAACTTTATTGGAGTCGCAGTGTTTTCTAGCCATTGCAATATGGGTAAAGAGAATAATGAGGAAGATTATCCAGGTAATGATCTTTCAGACAATAATCGTAATGACTACAGTTTGTTGTCTTGCAATCATGTTCCATATTTGCCGCAAGAAGGCCATCACCCACACAGTTAGATTGATTGCTTTTCGTAATTGGTAATTTTCATTTTGATTCTTTTGTGTACTCTCAAAATTACCATAGCTATTAATGATAATTAATTGGAAAATGGTTTAACATAAATTTTGTATTAAATAAAAATCCAAGTGCTTGCTTTACCAGCTTTGTGTTGCTCATTAATTTACTTCCATGGGTGGGTATCTGAAGTGTTTACGGTTGAATATATTCGTACCTAATTTATAATTACTTGTAATTACGTGAAAGTGATTTCTGCTCGTCTTCTGTTTTACTACCCATTGTTTAGCATTCTCTGTACTCGGCTTTTAAAGTTTTTATTCTAATAGTTTGCGATTTTTACAAAATGGAACATTAAACTAAGACGAACACAATATATTGCTGGATTTCTTGTAAACTCTCGTTTAATTAGGCTCCAATCATTAATTGTCATCAATAATGGATGTTTTACTTATAGTTAACAATTTTTTACGAGCACTTTCTCCCATTATAACAATTAGAGAGAAAATAGACTTTAAGCAAATGAACGTCTCAAGTTTAAAAACAATAAGAGGATACGAGAAGATGTAAATCAAAATTGCTACACCGACAAACCAATTAAGAATTAACTAAACGTTTATTTGTCATTTTGTTGCGTTTCCGGCGGCGACTTCTAATTGCACATTTTTCCAGCGTGACTTTGTTCTGTTTCTAAACGAGAACCGAAGGATTTTAAGAAATAAACCATTTTTAGATTGTGATTATTTGTTGGTCGGCCAGGTATGACATTATTACGTATGCATATTAAGACAAAAGAAATCCACATCAATGACAATATTTAAAACGGAGGTTGCGAAATCGTGTAATGCAATTGTTTCAAAAACCCATCGAAATCACTAAAATTAAAAGACTTAGATAATGAACCTGTTAAAATGTTGCTTTAAAAGTTATAGCATAGCTGTTTAAAAATAAAGATTCAGTTAAAAGCATTTCTTAGATTATTACCTAGTTAATGATTCACACGTCAAGTTTTTATGTGATTCTCAAAATAATGCATAATTTCAATCGCGTTATAAAAATACTTGGTGACATCATGTGGAGTAAAATCTGGGTGTTTTTTTCAAAGAATAATCAGTGAAAAACCGCAACAGGATCTCTACTGTGGGAATCTTTAATTTTACTTTCTCGATTTAATACTTTATTTATTTTAAAATTGCCTTAGGTTGTGTTCCGATAAACTTAATGAAAACATGACTAATTTCACAACGTGCTAATGTTTCGGACAAATGAAATTGTATTTTCACAACATACTTTTTTAGTATGTCACATGGTGTTTATTGAAGCAAATTTCGTATTGAACCATTACAAAAATACTTATTTCAACAGACGGAGATGGTGATTGATGGGTACTGTCACCAATTGTGAGAACTAAATTGGTTAGTTACATCGACAGAGCGGTAGTGAAGGTGAAGATGTTGACTTCCGCATTTTTTATTTTAAATAATTTGTTTGTTTGAGCGGAAAGTTAATCGATTTTAATCATACTTCACCTTAATATCCAGTAATTTGTGTTGTTAAGTTCTTAGTTGGTATAACTTTATGGAAATTCAGTTTTGTTACGATTTTTACCCTGGAATTAATCATGTTATATTACAGTAATTTATACAAGTACATATGGGTAGGCTTTGGCTCGTTGAACATTGTTAGGTATAGGACAAACATTCCATACTGACAGATCCATATTTATTGCATATTAACTTACGTCCAACCAGACAATTACTTAGAGAGCACTAAATTTGAAAGATGTGTTATTAAAGAAGAGAAGGTGTTTGCGGCGCAATTTTTTAAAATACCTTTCGGAATAGAGTAACTTTAACGATTAATAAACTGAAATATATATTTTTTTAAATACCCAATCAAAAATAAGTATTTCCCAAATTTAGACTAATAATATAATTTTTAATTAAAAAGCCCACTCATATTTTGTACAAAAATTGTATAAAATATAAATGAATTATGTTATTTGCCATTTTATATTAAAAAACTGTTAACAATATAGGTAGGTCTCAAAAAAATTATTTGTAAAAAAATATCTACAAAGGAAACTGCAATGGACTTGAATCAAAGGTTATATTAATAGGTAGGTACTCTCATTTAGACGAGGGAAAAGGTAATCCACATTTCGTGAAAAGATTTTTTTTGGCAAGTCAGTTAGTTAGCTAAACATTGATTTTGTATGTTTTTTCTTGTTGTTTAACTGAGCAAGAGTATATTTGTACCTTAGAGCAAAATAGTATTTATTAACTTCAGTTTTTCCTGTTTTTGAATATTATGAATATAGCAGACACTTAAACAAAATTACATAAAAGTGCTCTCATAAAAAAAAATGTGTTTTGGTGGTTAATACTGTTTTTGCTCTGAGGTACAGATATGGAATGATTACAAAAGGCAAAAAAGTTGAAGACCATTCGCGACCGTTATTTTTATTTATCTCAAGAAAAAAGCAAGTCTTACAATAATTTTTCGTGACAGATCTGATCTGAGGAAGATTGTTTCTCGTTAGAAATGAGAATGACTTGACCCCATATGATTTTTTTCTTGTTTTTTGGGGGGCAAGAAAAGTGCGTGGGCGTTGTTTTCGAGTGCTGTAAAAGCTTATTTATAGCATTCAAGCTTAAATAAGTGACAACGATAAAAAATATTGACATAAATGCTCTTAAAATTGGCTTAAGTAATGGAGAATATTTTTATGGTAAAAGTTCTAAAGTATCTAAATAATAAACGTAATAGTTCTCAAAATTTTATTTGTGACCTTTGAATTAGGATCAAATGTCCTTATCACTATATATTTTGATGGTTCAGCATCAGAACCAAAATTGGATAAGCAATTCAGTGTTTTTTTTACAAAAAAATAAACGAAAATTATTTTTAACGTTTAAGTACCTAGAGCTTGTCCAAATCTGGTGGCGAACTGACGTTATCAAAAATGACTGAATTTTGACACTAAACATATGTTTATTATTATAAAAAATATTGTTCATAGGCGTCGTATGAAATAATATTTCAAAACCACTGTTATTCTTTTAAAAAATATAATAAGTTGGTACTCATACATAAGATGAAGAATAATGAACAAATTATTAAATTGTTAACGCATGAAAAGAATTTAAAAAATTATATTCCTAACAATCCTTATCTTCAAAATTTTTAGAGTTAAAAACTACGCTCATGTATTTTTTTATCTTAACCAAGTGGGCGCATTCCAAGTGTCTTTTCTGTCACTGTCAGTTCACTACCACTTGTTTTTATTTAATTAATTAAAACATAATTAGACTTTGCACATTGTCATGGTTTTTTAAAATGGTGACCACCTAAACAATTGTTTTACTTATTTAACAAATAATGCCGTTTATTTTAGGGATAATTAGACAATATGCCAATTACAGCTCGTTACAAATTACCTATATCAAATGTTATACAGGAAGTATTTAAATTTTTTGATATTTTTTTCAAAATGTTCGAAATGTTTCACATCACGATTCTTTCACAGCACCGAGAGTTATTAGGAGATGGAACAAGAGATGGCAGCAGGTTATAAATTCTAGAATTAAATTCAACGGTATATGAAATTATGACCGAATGAGTCAATTAATGAATTACAAATTTTCTCCTACATTAAAAAAAGAGTACGCCTGTGAAATTTTTCGCCATACTCTATTGCAATTTTTAAATAGATGTATACCCTCGTTTTTCCTAAGTAATTTTACAAAATCGAGTTATAACTTATTACAAAGACTAAGTTTATATTGGTTATAATATTTTTTTAGAATATGCATCTGTTTTTTTGATTTTCAAAAACATAATACATCATAATAAATAAAAGTCTATTGAAAATTTTTGTTTTTATTATACGTATGTAAAATTTTTACTTTTTATTGTAACAAATGTCAACACAAAGTAAATTGTTACATTACAATCAGGACGTGTCACATGCGAGCGCGTGATTCAAATAAAATTTCCAAATATTTGCGATTTTTTAAGTGATCTAATTTTAAGCAGAATGAATCAGATACGACTTTATGTATTATTCATAAAAATTAGTAGAAATCTAAATCCGACGGAACAATATTTACTTAAGCAAGTCATTCATTCGCATTTTGCTATATTTTTAATATGTTCATAAATTATTTGACAACAACATGTATTTATGGCTAATAATAGCTTAAATTTGTTCCGGTACTTTTCAGACATCAGTAAGTCGATGGGTGTTACCACTGCCTGTGAGCATTATTGTGTTTTTGACCACAATTTACTGCATATCCATCCCAGGAGCCGGGATTAGTCCTGGGGTTAAGTTTTCTCGGTATTTGGAACAGAGAGTTAACAGTCGTTAAAATAACAATAAAATTTTGAGAATTACTAATCTTTGAGTGCAACGGTTTGAAGAGAATATTTTGCAGTTTCCGGCGGAAGGTTTGCCGTCTGATCGATCACAGCAGTCTCCTTGAGATTCGTGCTTAATTGCGCATTGAAATCTCTGCCAAGTAACGTAAATAAACAAAACATACCTTAGCTTGAAAAGTGAATAATTGTCTTAAAGTCCTTGCAAGGTACTATGACACACGCGACACTATCTCGCCGACATCACTTTGCACATGTCTTGAGCTTCTGAGTGATCTAGTTTAATAAACGAAGATTTAACACTCGTTAATAATAAAAACAACCACACTTTCACTGGTGTTAATTTTGAAATCCCACAATTTAGGTGATGTTAATCTAATCACTTAACACTCGGCAAATCGAGTCCATTTATTGAGCAAGGTCTAATGAGAAGAAGTGGAGTAATGACTCGTAGTGACGGCGATTGTTGTCGTTAATGTCGTAATGGGGTGTCCCCAGTTGTCCCCTACGGGTAACTTGATGCACCACAACGAAGATCAAACGAAGAATGACTATGGAAACTCCTCCAACTTGAGATACCGCTGCCGGGAGGGGATTCTCTACCTGTTGAAGATAGCCGTTCGTGCGAGTGGGGGCCATAGGAGGGGTAAAATATTGATGTTTGAATTAGTGTCGTACAGACAAGCAACTTCTTTTTTATATCATAAGTTTCAAGTCATTGGTGTGATTTCAATGGTGGGGAATATTGTTGTACGAACCTTACGGTCTATTTTTAAGCTCGCGGCTTTGGCTCAGTCTAACGTCGAAATCACCGGATTGCGCTGGATGTCCGGAGCTTTCAAACCCGGAGAAACACCAAAAAGGACACAAATTCTGACTAATAAGGACATGATAACTGCTTAAATACACACTATCAGTAAACAATTTGTTCATTTTACGAAAATTTAGACTATTTTTTATTGAAAATTTATAAGTATAGCAATAAAATGAAGCACCAAGTTTAAAATTTATTTAGCTGTATTAGATAAGGTAAATTTAATTGACAGTTTTTTTAAATGAATTTTGAAGTTAAATTATACCTACTTAAAAAAAATACGTAGAAATTTCTAAAATAAATTTGTTTACTAACAAATTACCGCACAAAAAATGTGACTCTAGTTATATTTTTACAATTTCAAATTAGCGATGTTTACACATTTTTTTTATGAATTAACCGTTATATATTTGAAAGGATGGATAAAATATTCTTCGGCAACAGAATTAAAAAGATTTTTTCAAATAGTGATAACAAAGACTTTAAGTAGATAACCAATATTTTATTTCTGTTATGTAATAATTTTAATAATTATTTTTTTAATTACACTTTCATATAACAAACATTTTTGATTCATTTTTTTTGCTAAGTATAATAAACATTATGATTGCATACTTAAGCAATTCAAAAAATAAAATCAATACAGTTTTGAAAACTATAGATATTTATTAAATTTGAAGAAAACAACAAAAATATTATTTTGTTTATAATATGGTTTATTTTTCAATTTAAAATTAGGTTTGTAAACAATTTATTTTTCTTGTTTCAATTTTATTAGATTAAAAACATGTATTAAATGGGATTTATTTTTAGTTACGATTTTCATATTTTTTTCAGATTTTCGTGAAATTAATTTGTCTTTATAGTTAACACCCAAAAAAGTTGGTACATACATATAATTATCTTTTTAATTCAATTAGCTCCTACTAGTTTAATTTTTTTAATTCAATTTTTTTATCGAGATTCTATCATGTTCGTGATGATTTAAAAAAATATATCGTTTTAGCAAAGTAGGTGCTTTATGAAGACATATTAATTATATCGCAAAAACATTCTTCAAGAAGTAAGAAAAATTACAGTTTCTTGAAGAAGTTGTATTTTTAAAACAAAACAACTTTCTATTTCTATCTTTTATCAAAAGCTGAAATCATGATTAGTTGTTAGTTCAGTTATACAGTATAAAATAATACGATTAGAGAAGAAATTAAATTAAATTAAAAACAAAATACATGTAGAAAATACAGAAATATAAATACAAGCCGTTTCACATAATTTTACGACTTCTGCGCCTGTAAGATGCAATCAATAATACATATTCCGATACGAACTCAATTACAAATTTTGAAAAATTGGATAATCTTTTCTAGTTTGTACACCTTTTCAAAAATTACAACGTTTTTAGTTAGTTAGTGATTAAGATAGATAAAGTAGTCACATTCATGCCGTCTCTTGATAGAACAAATGATAATTTGACTATAAATAAAACAGTGATTAGTTTGACAACTACTGTCATGGCTTCCAAAAATTAAATAATTAAATGTGTATTTTTTTGTATCCAGTGTTTTGCGACTTTTGTTTATTTGGGTACATTATAGGCGCAAGCCTCGTAAAGTTCTGTAAAACACTCTGTATATCAGATAAGAATTGATTTTTTAAATGAAATTATCGTTAAACTACTTTTTATATTCTGTCATTTTGTTTCATTTAAATTTAATTTTAAATTTAAGAAAGCATACTAAAGATACATATTTGAAGAATAAATTGTTAATGTCAACCCAATTGTTTTTTTATTATTTTTATTCTCATTTTTAATCTCATAAAATGAAAATCTTTCAGCAAAAGTCGTTATTCATTAGTCACGCTGTGCTTATTTTCCAAGTATGGCGCTGAGTTTTTTTTTTTTTTTTTTGGTCGTAGGTTGCAAATTTTTACGACTCTTATTTTCTTTAAGACACAAGTCAATTTTCCTTTTGTTTACCAATAAATTTGTGGATTTAACTTTCTTGAAAAGTGCTCGAAACGCGTCAGAATATATCGAATGCAAATGGTGATTTTAATGGTAGAGCAGACAAGAATTGCATTTGTTTCAAAGGCTATGGTAATGGTGTCTGTTATTCATAGGCATTTTCACAGAAATTTAGTTTAATAAAACACCATTGTTACGATCATCGTGCATTGTTTTCACTTTTAATTATATTCCCACATTAAAACGAACCTGACATTGAACCAAATAAAATTACGTTATGACGCGTGCGGTTAACTGTGTGGATCAACCGCGACCATGAAGAAATAAAAACCATTGTTACTCATGAACAACGAATTACATGCCTAATTATGTAGAGCATGAATATTAAATAATTGGGTGATTACTCATTGACAAGAGGAAATTAAAAATTAGTCGTTGGCAAATTGCCAAATGTTGCAAAAGACTATGACATGCCACACTTTAATAAATTGCGGAGATTAGGATTAGCTATGTTAATGACACATTTGCAACAATTTTTTATTATTTTTACCTGAATTTTGAAATACTTTGTTCAGCTCGATTTGGCCTTCTCAAGCTCCCGAAAATGCATATCTTATGAGGCATTGAGGGTTATCATCAAATGAAACAAAGAATCTGACACATATACCGTCTGCATTAATTAACAAATAAATTCGGCTAATGAGTCAAATCTTGTCATCTGGATTTCACAACGTACATTCCTAGACTAAAATTATTTTAAGTAGTATTGGTTAAAGAGGACGTGAAATCTTTACAATAATTTAATTAATTTGATTTATCGAAAGCGAAAACAGTAAATTACTTTTGTGTAGGTGTATGAAAGTTTGGAAAATTTTAGAATGGGTATAGTAGATTCTAATAAGTAAATAATGTAGTGTGAGAATAAAATTTTGGATGCGTGTTAAGGTGAAAAGAAAATAAGTGTTTATTCAATTACATGTTAATCGGATATCGTAATTTTAAGTGTCAAGAATTAAATTTAAGGTTTCAGATGTGTCTACTCGCCTAGAAATGTTTTCTAACCCACAACTACGCTAATTTAGGAGAACTAATTTAAAAAGATTTTTAATTTTTGCCTTCTTTTACCTCTTGCTGAATACCTAAGTAACGTAAGAACCCATAATTGTATCAACAAATTTTGCTTAGAAAGTTGATCTTGGGGGTTTAGATCGCATTAAATACGTTGATAATCTTAATATGCAATAATGCTCTGATGCATGTTTATAGTGCATGTTACTAACTCTATAATGTGCACGCGCATGGCCGTAAACGAGCGTTTAGTCAAATGTATTGCAATTTCAGGTTACTTGGTTGTTTATAACTGGTGACTACAACCACTACACAGCTGAATATAATGTTCAAACTTATGGATGTCTTTATTCATAGTTTAGGTATAAGTGCATCATTAGATAACTGAAAAATGGAGGTATTTCAGTGTCTCCACTTCTTAAGAAATTAATTGATAATCTGTTTAGTTAATGTTTCAACGAAGTAGTCCGGGTAGAAAAATTGAATTCTACGATCAATGAATGAATTTATAGAAATTTCCGTTCTAACAACCACAGCAGGTCGAAAATACAACAGGTAAAACATGTAACTATTTTAATGTTTTTTCGCATTTTTGAGGAATTAAACCATTTCTATTTTTAACTGGCATATTTGTGGTAGCAGATGAACGGAAAATTTATCGAAGAGGATTTTAGAATTTGACCGGGTCACAGGTTATTTGACTTTTGCATAAATTTGGTTAGTAATTTTTTACAATAACGGACTGATTCGTGAATAAATTTAGCTCATTCATATCCATTTATGTTTTAGGAAATTAATAAATTATAAAATTGATATTTGTAAAATTTTTGATAAAGCATAATTTAAAATGTTAGTTCGGCTGTCTGATAACAAAAAAATTAATAAACTCGCTTTAACGACAAGTTTGATTAGGTATTCTTTCTTTGAGATGCTAATAAAATTTTGTTTAAAATTATAATAAAGGGTTTAAAAGCTGTTAAGTACGTTTACCTTTCCAATTGCTTGAAATGATTTATGGCTTGCACTTGGGGCTGGCTTGAACTTAATCCCCGATTAGGGCAAGGCCAACGTGGTGCCATTACAGGATTAAAGCTTTTGTGTGATGAAGCTTTGAAGAAAGTTTCAAAGAATAAACCTGAAGAAGAATTAAATCGCTTTTCCATTAAAGTGACTAATTAGGTATAAAATATTTACATTTATTAAAATTTGGAAAATCTAGTAAGTGTGAATATTCACCAAGAGAAAAACCACACTTGATATATTTCTTGATGGTTAATTAGATCTTAAAGTGTTGTTGTTAACAAATATGATGTAATCTTAATGAAATTTTATTTATAAAAGACTTTTAAAATTTTTTAAATTATTTAATAAAATTTTCAATTGACAAATGATACGAAAATATGGTGCTCAAAAAACGGGTTTTGGTAGGTGTTAGTTACAAACGAAAGAATTCTCGAGTAAAATAAAATGTATCTGTAAGTTAAATAAATTATTTTTATAGAACCTATAAATAAATTAAGTAGCAGAAGATAAAATTATATGAATTTATGTGAGGTATTACTTTTTGAAATATTTATACAGGGTGTTCAGTTTTTATTGTTACAAACTTCAGCAGGAGATAGAATATTCAATTTTAAGACAAAAGTTTTCTATGAACATGTATCGAAAAATGGGAGCTACACCC